CTGAGCGGGAAGCCGCCACTTGCTTCTCAGCCTGCCCCGGCTTCCTGCGCAAACAGCTGATTCGCGGGAAGCCGGGGGGGGGGGGCGGAGAAGCAGAGAAGGGCAGCGTTTAAGGGTGGAGGCGGAGCGGAGGTGAGTTGGAGCCTGGGCGGGGGGAGCTGCCGGTGGGTGCTCTGCACCCACCAAATTTTCCCCCTTGGGTGCTCCAGGGCTGGAGCACCAGTGGAGTCAGCGCCTAAGGCACCACTTTTGGCCGGTTAAATTTAGAAGCCCTTTTAGAACCGGTTGTCCCTTGTGGAACAACCGGTTCTAAAAGGGCTTTTAAATTTAACAACCGGTTCCAGCGAACTGGTGCGATCCGGCTCCAGCTCACCACTGGTTAAATCTACCTTAAAAATTTTTTAGACATTAGTGGTTTCACTATGGTTTGTCCTGGTTACTGAACACTCTCTGCCCTTTTCACTATTATTTGGTGTTATTTTATGTCCCCACCCTCTCCTTATATATAATCCCACTTAAAAATTGAATCAAAATCTATCCTGACACAATCTAAGAAATACAGAGTTAATGTTTAGATCACTGCAGCTTGCGCAGCACACATGGTACCGGTACGTAGTGTCACATTCAGCTCAGAGACCCGTGCAAAGAGTAAGCACAGAGTAGCAATTTAAAAACAAAGTTTCAGCATTAATTTGGAAAATCCTTTCACCTTGTTGTTTTGTTCAATACAGTGGTGTCCTTTTGAGTGTTCATCTGTGAATGTTTTTCTCAACAGTAAAGACATAGTGACTGTTAGTAAAACACAGTTTTCTCACTGCAGATTAATTTGGTAGTTTTTTAGCTACAAAATACAATTTTGTTTAGATTTCATTTGAACAGAGGAAATAAAGGAGTTAGGTCTGTTTGTAAAGCTTTAACAATGGCTCTGGGAAAAGACACTACAGAAATGCAAGGTAGTTATGTTACCTGTGATTATGTTTGCTGGATTCTCTTCTAACCCCTTCACTTCACATATGCACACAACCTGTATGAAATGTTCAGTCTCATTATTAATTATTCCAATTAACTTAATTGAATTCAGCCTTCAAAGATTCCCTTCCAGACAGTACTGTGGTGAATAAAATTATAAATGTAGAACCTCACCTGGCTTTGTCATCTAATGGTTGAGAAGTTGAATGCTGGAAGGGAGGCTGGAGTGCTCTGTACTAGTCTGAGAAGTGCCAATGTTCCTTCCTCTAGAGAGTTGCCTGCCTTCTCTCCTGGCCAGAAAGCAAGGAATGTTAAAATGTCTGAGTCAATGTACAGTATGCAGTAAGTGTATACTAAATTCACAGGTGATCAAACAAGTATTTTTATCAGCAGATTCCAATTTATTGCATGTAAGCCACTTCATCTTACTACATTGAATTGTGTAAGATATAAGCATAGACTCTGTGTATTGAACAAATACATGTTTGAATATTTTTATAACCCCTACTTCCCATACACCTTTAAGTATTACTTGGGGTGGGGGTTGGAGGTAGGTTCAGAGATTGCCTCCTTCATAAATTGCCCTGTAGTACAAAAGGGCTGAATGCTGTATCCTTGTCTCATTTATTTTGAAACTTTGCTTCTGAAACCAAACTTAATCAATGAGCTCTGTGTTGTCTCCGATAAGTTGTGTGTAGGCTATATTGATCGGGGAGGATTTTAGAAAAACCTTATGGGGTTTATAATGTCAGCAGTGTTTTGATTATGAAAAGAGTTGGAACCTGGGGACATGGAACCAGGTGGTGTATGTCCTGAAGCCAGTGGTGACACAGCTAGACTGAATCCCTCATGGGACACAGTTCATGCCCTGCACTTTAACTGTGGTGACTGGCTGCTATGGATGCACTTTTTCCTCATTAAAATGTTAAAAATCAAACTGCATATAAAAAGAATTGTGAAAATGTATACTTGGGAATTGATCCAGAAAACTGGCACCTGATGCCCTTGAGACCTTGATTTCAGCTATTGAGTCATTTACATTTTATCCACTCTGTATTTTTTTTTACATCTTGTGTGGTGGTGATTGTTGGGGAGGGATAAGGAGGTGTTTAAGCAGTTTTTCCTATTGGAACATAGACGTGAGGAAGTAGAGTAAGAAAACAAGGCCATTGATACCACCTCTATTGCCTTGCATGTCAGCTTAAAAGAAATTATAAAGCAAAGTAAGTATTAGAAAAAATGTTAGTTTTGTCTTAATGCTCTTTTTACAGTAGCCTAGTGGGATCGTAAAGAGATTTTGGTCCTCCTATGATTCTCCAACAAATAGTCATACACCCAAAACAACTCCTATGGGAATTTATTTTCACATGAGCATTGCTGACTTTTAAACAGAGCAAAGTACAAAATACACACTAATAAATGTACAGTAATTAATACAAAACTCAGAGCAAAATTTTGAGAACTCTTTTAATGTTCTTACTCTTTGCACCTGGATAACCATTGTTTTAGGAATGCAAAACTATTTTAGATAATAACTTCACTAATTATGAAGATCTGTTTTTTAAAGAGTTTATCTGTGTATTTTTAAATTTAAACCTGTTAGTGGGCAGTCCTCACCCCCAAAATGTAAACTTAGGGAAATGCATATGTGATGTAATGTGCAACGGGATGTATCCTTTATACCCGGTAAACCAACTGGAGATCTACGGCTTCAAAATGCTGTAAGAGTTAGATTATTTATTTATTTAATTATTATTATTACAAAGCCACACAAGGATGATGACATATGCCAATGCAGTTTGGGCACATTTTCTAACAAGTGAGATTTTAATTTTAATTCTGTGCTTTGGAAGATATGCAATATCAAGAAGGAAGTGCAAATTAGGTTCTGAATGATTTGTGTTGCATTGTCCCTGTAGTAACACAATGCTGATAGTATGATACAATGTATGTTAGAAATGTGTTATTTTATTATGTGGATATTTGTACTTGTAAGTATAACAAATATTAAATCTTATTTCAGCGTGGTAATAGAAAGCAATATATTCTACCATATTAGGGTAACTGTGATGAGCTGTTTAAAAAGCCTGGCCTATTATCTTTTAACATTGCTGTATATTAAAATTCCCTCTAGCAACCTTGCAGTGTTCTTGCTCTTAAAAATAGTAGTTTTGCAAATGCAGTCATTATGCCAAGCAGAATTTTTAAATTAATTAATAAGGCCAATAAATAGTTTTAGTTTTGAACCTATCAGCACTCCATTTCAGTTTGCTATCCTTCATGTAATGGATATGGGCTTTGTGTAAGATTTAGGGCAAATGTGCAAGATTTAGATTTGGAAGTCATGGGGTTTTTTATGCATAAGCAACGTAGCAAATGGAGGGTCAGATCCTGCTATCAGATCTGCACAGATGGGTACTTTGAAGACAGTAGGGCTCTGCACAAGGACGGAACCATTTGTATGGATCATATTGCAAAATCAGGACAGTATTTTATAAATAAAGTCCTATATTATTTATGCCAACAACAGGTTACATTTTATGCATAATATTTTTCAAAACTTGGGGTCAACCTTGAACCTGTGGTTTCTCTGTAGGTGTCTTGTTGAAATTGCAAGGGGGAGAGCTGAATGCTTAGCACTGAATTTTTCAACAAACCCTTCCTTAAAAAGAGATGTTAAATATTTTTACCAAACATATGCCAAGAAGGGAAATTCCCCTTATCAGTCCCTACATTAATTCTTAACTAGAAACGTGGTAAATTATAAACTATCTAGAAACCTCCAGAAGGGTACAATATGAAAAATTGAGCTTGAAACTATAGTAAAGAATGGGATATGTTCAATTGAATTATGTAGGAGGAACATGCTCTTACAGGGGAAGTCAATATACTTTCTGCTTCATTGAATCGGTTATTAGATTGATGTGGTTTATTTGCTCAATGAGGGAGTTGGTTTTAAAAATAAATGAAGCAAGAAGCATCAATTCAGTTGGCACTGAAATTTATTATTATTGGTCACAAAGTTCTTCATTTGTAAATCGATCCTTTATTTATCAAATTGGCTATGATTTGCCTTAGGCGGTCTTGTTTCAGTTTGAAGCAAAAAGAAAAATCTAGTTTTGAGATTTGAAGAGAAAGAGAACAGGCAATGAAATGAAGTGGAAAATGTGAGTAAACTAGTAAAGATTTGTGGTGGATTTTGTGTTAGGGAATTATAGCTTTGAAAGGGTGTGTGTGTGTATGTATATATATATATATATATATATATATATATATATATATATATATATATATATATAATACTTTGCCTATGAGTTGCTGGAAATCTTGTAACGCACCTTTCTACCTTACCAATTTCATGACAATGCTTTTCTTTAGTGAATGAGATTTTTAATAATTAAACATTACATGAAAACTTCATGCAGCGCTGAAGCTTTGTTTGCTTTATTAAAGTACAGTGTATAAATAAGGAATTCTAATAAAATCCATTCACACTTCAGGCTTCCTTACTAATAGATAGATGCAATTTTTCTTTAACATTTCCTATTAGACCAATGGGTTTTATCTTTTTTTTTTCCTATTGATGTTGGGAAGCATTTTCTAATCCCACAGACCCCTGTTCCTAGGTAACAAGCAAAAGCTGTGCCAGCAGAAGCGGTCCTGCCAGGCCAAACCCATGTGGTTTGGTGTTATTCACTATGATCCATATGGTCAGGCTAGAGATTGTCCCTAGAGGGGTGTTAACACTCAACAACCCAACCTCCTCCTTCCCTTTGGAGCTTTGCTAGATGGCTCCTGCTGCTTACCCATGTGTGAATCTTGATTAATTTTTCATTTTTAATGAAGTTTGATCATGTTTATTATTTCACATGATTGACTGCCTGGTACTCCTTCCGTGTAATTGATAAAACGAATATTTCTTCATCTGTCTTCTATTTCTTCAGGGCAAAATTGTGAGATTATATGCTGTGGTTAATGTTAGATTTATTGGTCCCATTAGATGTATAAATTATCTCTTTTTCTCTCCACAGGAAGTTCTACAGACTTTGACCAAGTTTTGTTTCCCCTTCTGTGTGGACAGGTAGTGTTAGATTTTCAAACTTTACGAGAAAAAATCTTGTCAATAAAACTGCTGCAGAAAATAAAAACCATACCACTCTTAATGTTCTGTCTGTTTGACTGATTTAAAGCACCCAAATGCAAATTATAGTTGCAATATCCCCTTTTCTTGAGGATTTTATGGGCACCGTCAAAAAAGTTTAAAAGATAGAACTGTGCATTGGCAGGAGTCAAAATGCATTTTCTTCTATTTTTAAACAAGATTTGGATGCTAAAATTAAATGTTGCTAATTTAATATATTCTAAGAATGGTTAATGCTAAGAATCCCTTAAGAATTTAGGGGAAAGTTGGCAGTTGTGTTGTGGATATTTAACATAGTTTGTGACTTGTTTAGGGGAGTTAAATAAGGACTAGATTACTTGGCAAGTTAATATTTTCTATTGGAAATATTTAATTATTGGATTTTAAAAACATACAAATTGCTTTTTGTTTACTTTTTGAAAATAGAATTATTTTAACCAGTTTCATGGAGATTGTAAATATTCATATTCTGAAATGATACACCATTGTTCAAATCGCACAACAGCAACAAAAAGTTGGTTGACAGCATTAGTTTTACAACAATTAATATTCTGAACTTTTTTGACTGTAAGCTGAAACTGATGCTAATCACAATGACTAGACCATTATAAGAACATGTTTTGCTCATTTTAGTTGTGTTTGCATGATTCCTACAGTAGGAATGAGTTTTTCTGCATAAATTGTATTTATTTGCAATTCATAACTCCTTTATTTTTCCTCCAAGCAATTGTTCACCTATCATTTTTATCCCACAGGCCAGCCTGAATATGTATAATAACTCAGTATCTTCTTTTTAAAAGGAAAATAAAAAAACCTGTTGCTGTGGAATGGGGGTAAATACAGAACTTAGATAGTTTTATTGCATCCTTAGAAAAACTCACCTTTATTTAGAGAGATGAGGTGGGCAAGCTAATATCTTTTGTTGGACCAACTTCTGTTGGTGAGAGGGACAAGCTTTTTAGCCACACAGAGCTCTTTTTCAGGTCTGCAAAAGGTAATTCTGTGTGTGTAAAATGGTGTGGCTCAAAAGCTTGTTCTCTCACCAACAGAAGTTGGTCCAATAAAATATATTACCTCACCCACCTTGTCCCTCTAATATCCTGAGGCTGACATGGCTACAACACTGCATACACTTTTATTTAGACATTCTTAACAATTGCTAATTAGTAACTTAATCACACATGCACATGCACAGTCTTAGTTGGTACAGAATCTTTTAGTCTCTAGGGCATTGTTTTGAATATGGGCCAATTCAATAGTGACTAAAAGTTATTATCATTGGAAAGCTCTTCACTGGCCTTTGTGAAATTAGTTGCTCTCAGTCCAGTTCCTAGAGGACAGGTGTCCACATAATAAAACCACAGCACAGTTTGTCCTCCTTATTGGTAATCTCAGCTGAATGGGCTATGCAGACTGAGCTGTCCTTTCAACCCTAGAGGTGGTCCCTCCAGGTCAGGGTTGAGAGACATTGGCGAGGCACTGCTAGGGGGAAGCTTGCATTGCTGCTGCCTGTGCGGTACCTGACCTGGATGAATAGAAGATTCCAGTCTCCTGGCTGTCAAAATGAGTCTTTTCACCAACACTTACAGACTTAAAAAAAATTTTCACTTAAAAGGACAATCTCCTAAACACCACAAACATTTCTGCTATTTTACATTTACTCTTTTGACTGATCTTGCTTGCATCTCTTTGTAAGAGTGTCATGATATGTTTTTGTTTTCCTGAATGTTTCATATTCATTGTACATGTAGAAGGGCAGCTTCATTTTTAATAGAAACATTTGTGCCTACTTTACATAGGCATATTTAGGTTTGGTATAATTTGATTTTATTTATAATTTTGACAGGGTAATATCAATGTTTATTTTAAAGAATTTATGAATTTTTTTATCAATTTAATTTTTCAATTGGGCAAATTTATGTGTTTTAAGCACTTTTTGTATTTAAATTTTCACAATTGCTCAATAATGGGAGAGTGAGACAATAATTATTTAGGTTTCAGAGGAACAGCCGTGTTAGTCTGTATTCGCAAAAAAGAAAAGGAGTACTTGTGGCACCTTAGAGACTAACCAATTTATTTGAGCATGAGCTTTCGTGAGCGACAGCTCACTTCATCAGATGCATACCGTGGAAACTGCAGCAGACTTTATATATACACAGAGAATATGAAACAATACCTCCTCCCACCCCACTGTCCTGCTGGTAATAGCTTATCTAAAGTTGATCAACTTTAGATAAGCTATTACCAGCAGGACAGTGGGGTGGGAGGAGGTATTGTTTCATATTCTCTGTGTATATATAAAGTCTGCTGCAGTTTCCACGGTATGCATCTGATGAAGTGAGCTGTCGCTCACGAAAGCTCATGCTCAAATAAATTGGTTAGTCTCTAAGGTGCCACAAGTACTCCTTTTCTTTTTTGCGAATAATTATTTAATGACAGTAGATGTTGAGATTCAAAAATTAAAGGATTATAACTGTTAAGACACAAGTTGTCAGCATCATGTGTCAAAATATAGAAAGTAAATATCCTTAAATCAAACCCTAATAAGTTCTCAAGCAGCATTTTTCTTACTTTGCCTATATGAACATTTTGATTATTATTGATGGAAATATATTTTCATTGGTTTGTCTGTGTACGGTGAAATTGATGTTTATTGACACGTACAAATAAAAATCTAATCCATCCTAGCCTAGGCATATTGTGCCTTGTTTTCTCACTTTGCCAATTATGTAAAATTTTTGGGAAAAAATTTAAAAATTTATATATTTTGTGCAAATGGCAAGAACAGAAACTGAATCTGTGATTGGCTGAAATGTGATTCAGCTGTTGAGCCCCACTCTGAGTGCCCTCTTATCTCTCCTAAGATCATAGATATTGGAGATCAGAAACACCTTTAAGCAGACATTGATTTTCTGAGACCAGTTAAAGAGTGTTCTCCAGCAACATATTAAATATTTTCTCCAATTTTAAATGACGCAGGCAATGGGTTTCCAATACTCCATACTGTATTTAGGAATCTTCATATACTGAGGATGTGACAAGTATACTGCTACATCTCTTCCCTTTCCCCAACCCAAAAATATATCAAGTGGCACTGAACAAGTGGTATCTACTTACAATGTTAACTTTACTTTTAAGAATGAATCACATGCGGAATCTGCACCTCTAATCACTTTAGCAGCCAATGACAAATGAGAGAGAGAATACACATTTAATCAGTGAAACGCAAATATATTAAATACAGGTTTATAATTACCAAAGAAAAATGAAAAGATACTATTGATTCACAGTTGCAAGTTGCTTTCCTGGACTTTGGCTACAATCAAGTATAGTATCAGATAAATATGTAGTGTTCTCTCTGAAAGGCTATATCTGGAATTTGCAGGGAGATAGGCAAGACCTATAAGATTAAACCTGTTTCCAACTGCTGTAATCCAACAGCTGATCTCTTTTATATCCATTTACATTACACTATATTTGAAATAAAAAATTAAATTATTGAACAACTGACCACATAATTAAATGACTTCTGAATTTATTGGTGCAATCCCTCCACCCCCAATATTCTCAGTAAATACTTTGTCTGGCATCTGAAGTCAAGAAAATATTTCTTCTATAAGTGATTTCCTCCTCAGTTCAATGTTAGAGGGATTTTAACCTCCTGTATATGCCTGAAGAAATGTATATTTGATCAGATCTCCAGTTATCCGCATTCTTACTCTTTGGTTTTTGTGCAATAAAAGTTGCTCTTCTGACAAAGCAATCGAGAAAAACATTAATCCTGTTTCATTATAGGTCTTTTAAATAGTTTCCAGTTGCTAGGTTTCCATTTTCTTAGTTGTAGGTGTAGTATTAGATTCTGTCTGTAACAGTGGAGATATTTAGTGTCAGAAATTTTTCAGTAACTAGGCAGTTATAGTGTTCTCTATAGGATGTCAGTGATCCTGTGGTTCAAGACTCTCCCAGAGCACCAGAAAGATAGTATGATTTTGTATGGGTAGGAACAGATGCTGACATAAGATATCAGAGATGCTTCATTATCAGAAGATGTAAACCTTTCAGTCACCACCTCACAGGCCCAAAGTACACTATTATAATTCACTGGTAAAATTCTTTCTACAGTAAAGGACACCTTATCTCTGGGAACGTCATAGCCATGATCAAATCTTGTCATTTAAACTCATAGACTGCAAGTATTACGCATTAAGATCTGACTTGTGGAGATCACATTAAAAATGAATGAGACACTTGCAAATTCTAGCGAATTTTTCCTCTGGGTTCGTAATACTACACCTGTTTAGAGAATGGGTCTCAAGAGCAGGAACATTTCAGATGTCCTGTTCTTCCAACTATGCGTTTATTGTTGGTATTACCTCTTCAACAAATAGAAGCCAAGGAGTTGCTAAAGGCAACATCTTGGTCTCTCCAAAGTCCTTTTAATTTAGCCATAGCAATTTCAGACAACTGGATATCAAAAACTAAAGGACAGTTCAAACTTCTTACAGAGCACATCTTCAGGATGATGAAAATAATTCATTGAGACTTTAAAGCTAATCACAAGCCTTTGAAGTGTATATCATGAACATCCAATTGTAAAATTGCCTTATTTTGTGTGTGAAGGCTTTAGTACACATTGAGGCGTCTAAATTTGCACCATTGCCACTAACACACTTTATACGGGAGCATCCATTTTCTACTGAGTAATTTGAAGCATCTTCAAAACTTTGAAGTCCCTCTGGAAAGGAAGAAAATAGTGCAGCGTAGTTATCCTGAAAGCATGAATCTGTAAGAATATGAAGAACTTTGGAACCACCAAACTCAACATTAATAGCCTTTTTTCATACATACAATAAGAGTGAGGCAAAAGTTATTGGTTATAGGCCATGAAGTCTCAAGAGCTTTCTGCTGGAAATGTTCATTTTGAGTTGCACTGGCTTCGAGATGTGCAATCTAATTTGATAATGTCTAAATTACACTCATAGCATAGATAATATTCAATATTATCCACACTGTAGCTGAGAACGCATCTGAAGTCAAGGAAACATAATGATCCTAATGGACAAACTCAATAACGCTGTATCTTGCAGCAAGTAGGAAGAGAAGCTGATTCAATCTTGCCAGGTTAGGAAAACTTCAGTGCACAGAAGAATAATATTCTGGCAGGCAGATTGAATTGCTTGTCAAATGGACCTCAGAAGTGAGCATTAAACCAGGATGACAGAGACAGGAGACATCTCAAATGAAGGAGAAACCACTAAAATGTCCCCCCCCCCCCCCCGAGGTCATAATGGTGTTTTTAAAAGGAAAATCTTCCATATAAGAAATGGCTTAAAGGCACCATGCTGTTATCTGTCCCTTGGGGTTAAATTACTTCCTGTAAATGCTAGGGTGACGTATCTAAATTACTTCCTTGTAAATGCTTGGGTGAAATATAAAGGTGGGAAAATGCATAATACTAATACCTCTTCTATGCCCAGTACCTCTTCTATGGCTATTCTCCAACTACTGGAGATGGTCATGCCCAGTCCAGTTAAACTTGGATCAGTCTGAATCTGCTCTCTGGAATCAGGGATACATCTGTCTGTGGTTACTTTATGTGACAAAGTTCCTCCTCTACCTTGGTGGGTACTGCGCTTTTTGACAGATTTGCTCACCTCAGAGCTTCATGGCAGCCCTCAGTTTGGCTGCTTTTGCTAAACCTGCTGTACACTCAGCTAACCTGATCACTGGCCAGCATGGGGGAAATGGAGAACAATCTCCACAGTCTCTGTTGTCCCACGAAGTGGGTTGGGGACAGGCCAGATCCCTTTCCAAATTAGACCTTCCCTTCTGGTCTTGCTCACAGACCAGGTCAACTCCTCCTGTGTCCGATCAGGAGTTGGGGGAATGGGGAGAACCCGGGCCTGCCCTCTACACCGGGTTCCAGTCCAGGACCCAGCCCAGGACCCTGTGGATAGTAGCTGCCTACATCTCCTGAAACAGCTGCGTGACAGCTACAACTCCCTGGGCTACTTCCTCATGGCCTCCCTCCAGCACCTTCTTTATCCTCACCACAGGATCTTCCTCCTGAAGCCTGATCACACTTGTACTCCTCGGTCCTCCAGCAGCACGCCTTCTCACTCCCTGTTCCTTGCATGCCCTCCACTAACTGATGAGAGGTCCTTTTTAAAACAGGTATCCTGATTAGTCTGCCTGCCATAATTGATTCTAGTATGTTCTTAATTGGCTCCAGGTGTCTTAATTAGCTTGCCTATCTTAATTGGTTCTAGCAGGTTCGTGATTGCTCTAGCGCAGCCCCTGCTCTGGTCACTCAGGGAACAGAAAACTATTCATCCAGTGGCCAGTATATTTGCCTTCTACCAGACTCCTGTACCCCTCTGGCCTGGGTCTGTCACATTTAAAAATCTTTTTAGAATATACACGTAAGCAGGTGGAGAGGGGAGATTTGTGGTACTTTGTCTTGGGAATTAAACAGGCCTTTTTCCATATAACATCATTTGGAACAAAAAGAAAAGGAAAAGGAGTACTTGTGGCACCTTAGAGACTAACCAATTTATTTGAGCATAAGCTTTCATGAGCTATAGCTCACTTCATCGGATGCATACAATGAAGTGAGCTGTAGCTCACGAAAGCTTATGCTCAAATAAATTGGTTAGTCTCTAAGGTGCCACAAGTACTCCTTTTCCTTTTCTTTTTGCGAATACAGACTAACACGGCTGTTACTCTGAAACCTATCATTTGGAACAGAAGCTGATTTAAATGATAGGTTACAGACTACAGTTGTTAGTTCTGCAGTTTCACTATTGAGTTTCTTTGGAACTCTCAGGTGAATCTGGTCTTGGTGACTTATTACTGTTTAGTTTATCAATTTGTTCCAAAATCTCCTTTAATGACACCTCAATCTGGCACAGTTCCTCAGATTTGTCACCTAAAAAGAATGGCTCAGGTTTGGGAATCTCCCTCACGTCCTCAGTAGTCTTATCAGAGAGCCTGTAATCTAAAAAGAGATAGAGGGAGGTAAAATGTTCAATAACCATTGGCACATGGCTTGTGAATTCCAAAGTGATCTTTTAAATATACACATTTTAAAAAATTGCATGTTCCAAAACGGTTTCTTTGCACACTACTGAAATACAAATAACCTGCCCATTCACCAAGCATTATCTAAATCAAGGTTTGATTAAAAAGATAGTACCCCATGATGCTTAAGCTTATTACCTATGCTTTCTCTGCTAACTTGTCTTTTAATAAACAAGTTCCTCCCTTCCATAGATGAGGACTGCTTCCTCTCTTTTCCATAATTTTAACTGTGAGTTTAAATTCTATTTCTCATATACCCTTGGCTTTCAAATTTGTTAAAATTAAGCATATAATCTTCTTTTAAAACATAGTATTAAATTACTGTAGTAACATTATACCCAAACTTTACAGATAAAACATAACACCAATAAGAGTGGAGCTTGTGGTAGTCCCCGGTAGTCCTTTGCAGTTTATAGGAGTGTTTGTTCTCTTGGATGTTAGCATGGGGGATAGGATAGCAATACTTACACTAAATTCTCAGCTGTTGAATTGCTTTTGAATTGAGTCTTTGGGCATGGCTACACTTTAAACTTCAAAGCGCTGCCGTGGCAGCGCTCTGAAGTGCGAGTGTGGTTGTGTGCTCCTGGTACTCGACCTCCACGAGGGGATTAGCTTAGAGCACTGGGAGCGCGGCTTCCAGCGCTGGGGCACTGTTTACACTGGTGCTTTACGGCGCTGTAACTTGCTGCGCTCGGGGGGTGTTTTTTTCACACCCCTGAGCGAGAAAGTTGCAGCGCTGTAAAGTGCCAGTGTAGCTATAGCCTTTGTTCACCTTCAAATTTGGAGAAGTAGAGTATGTGTCTGTTTTGGTGCTTCGTTTTGTGCTTCCCTTCAGCATTTTTTCCTTCCTCCTTTTGACTACACAGAGAGGTTTTTCCCTTTTAAATTTGGTAGTAGAATTTATTGTCCTATATCCTAAGGCTCTTTCTTTATTGAAAGTCTATCTAGTTGTTGGTTTTCACTGGGCACCGTGTGAATGTACCAGGTCACATACATGTTCATTGATGGCATTGTAGATAGCGCTGTAGATTTCAGAATAGACTTTTAGAGTAGGATATTTCTGACTGGTTTAAGGTTTGTAACTGTATCTGTTGAGTGAGCCTGAACTTAACAGTAATTTTCCTTTTATTCCCCTTTGATCATCAAGATGGCGTTAATATACTTCATAGCTTCATGTGCAAATGCTATTCAGTTGTCAGTGTTTATAGTATGCTTTAAACTGGAGCGTAATTTGAACAGTAAATATTTTATAGTTAATTGTAGTTGTATTAAAATCTAACTCATACCAACACTAGTTCTCAAATGAATCCCTAATCCAAATTAAATAAAGCCTCCAGTAAACAAACATATTGGTCCTGGTTTCAACACTGTATTACTCCAGTTTTATTTTAAGCACTGGAGTTACACCAATGCAAAACTGGGATGACCTGATGGTGAATCAGCCCTACTGTCTGTTAATTTTAGGGTTTTTATATCCCCTACCAGCATGGTATCTATGCATTTCTGTATTAGGTGAGATTTAGACAGAAATGTGATAATGTTTAAAGAAATCCCATATCTCCCTAAATGAAATGGTTTATGCATTTCATTTTGGAAATATGCCTTTTTTAAAAAAAGGTTCTATTTTATATGCACCTTAGAGAGAGCCGATATTTTTTAGAAATGTGTTCTAGACCTCAAACTGCAAGCAGTAATATCCTTTATGATTTATAGTGTTAAAAATACTTCGGCACCCTACTTCTACCTTTTTGGTGCATTGCTTTTTTCTGTGTTCTTACAGAATGAAAAGCTATGTTTTGCAAGTCTGAGCGGATATTCCTATAGTGATGCTTTCCACTCTGGTGTGGCAGAGAGCCATCATCTTTAAACAATGTTGTTGCGTTGTTTGGGCACACTTTTAGAAGAGGCAAATAAGCATTTTGCTGTAGAGTGGAATTGGATTATAATCTTGAAAATCAGATACAAACTATACTGTCTATAGGGGTTTAAAAGTCACTGTAGTGATGCACTAGCATCAGTTCAGCATCTGCTTAGCCACAGTACCAGCTGTGGAGGTATATTTAAAGATTTTCATGTTTTGAGGCAGACAATCAAAATAAGATACTAACTTTGTTACAGAAGTTTTATTTACCTTTATCTTACTGTGCTGCTGTTAGTTTCCCACTTTAGCCAATACTGCCTTGTAGTAGAAATTGCATAGCTGCATAGAGAAATGGGGGAAATCATCTGTGAGGCCTTCATAAGCCATACATTTTAGAGGGGTAGTGCTGTGCTCATTCCCAGCCTAATTGGAAAACAGAGAAATATAAAATGAATCAATCAGTATACTATACAAAGCCATAATGTCACCAAATACTATTTGAATTTAAAGCAAAACAATCCCTTGAATGAAGAATGATATAGAAATGTTTTGCACTGAGAGTGGATGTGAGTTTAGTTGGTGCTGTGTATTGTATTGACTCTAATCAACGGCCATGTTATTGTTTGTTTTAAAGACATAGGAAATTCTTCCACTACTGTTCCACATCTCCAAAAAACCCAAGAGATGGATTCAAACTTGCATTTGTAAAGAGTGTAAATGCTCAAAGTTAATTTCCAAAGAAGCTCTGCAGAGAGAGGAAATGAGGTTCAATGACTTACTCTGATTAGATACTTCTAACATTGAATAAGATGAAATTAATTTTTCCTTTTGTTGTCTTTATTTCTAGCCTTACAGTTAGCCAAGTTGGCCAGAACTTTACATTTGTGCTCACAGACATTGACAGCAAACAGAGATTTGGATTCTGTCGCTTATCTTCTGGGGCCAAAAGTTGCTTCTGTATCTTAAGGTAAGTCTGGTTGTGGTCTGGCTATTGGCTAGCTCTGAGAAACAATGTTGGCCTTTGCTTTGTTATACTGCAATTATATTTTCCAGCTGTTCAGAATTATTTTCCTATCTGGTCCTCAAAAAGTCACTGCACTTCTGGAGAAATGGTGCAAAATATTCTTGCACTTTGGGTTCCTCTGATGATAATTAGATTTATTTGTAGTCAATGTACTTAAGTTAACAATGTGGAAAAAATTAACATCTCGATGCAGTAATTTGACACAGCATAGCATGATGGCAACCGTTATCTTTAGCTGTCACAATTGATCCTGTTAAGACATTTCATGGACATTTGTATATGCAAGTTTTATTAATAAAGCGTTTGTTGGTAACTGAGAGAATATCTTGCTGATGCTGTACCTATCCTAAGGCTCTGTAATTATAGCCTCACTCCTTTCTGTTGATGGATGTGTGAATGCAATCTAACCTGATTATAAATACTGCTACTCGGAGATAGAAACAATGTGCTTCACATAGAAAGTGAGAGGACTGGAGCTGTATCAAAATAGTTCCTCGTGACTCCAGGCCGGTATGCTCTGGGGCAACCTTTGCTTAGTTTTCTATTTCCTTTTGCTACCAAAAAAAAAAAAAAAGACGAAAATCAGATTTCAGATCTATTGTTTGCCAGGCTCCTGCTGAGAACCTCCTGTTGGGGAAATAAAGCTATGCACACTGCTCCCTGTCAGCCTCTGTTACCTAGGTGTAGCAGTGGCCTGCCTCCTGTCTCTTTCTATTAGGAGAAAGAGGCTCATGGAGAAGCAAAGCGAGCCAGGGGAAGTGCCTCTTGATAAAGCCCAGGTAAAGACTGTACTGATTTAACCCTAAGAAACAAAAAGCCAAATGCCCTAGTTACCACTTGTCAGTCCAGGAAAAAGCAGGGGTGGTTCCCCACCACCTCCATTCCATCCTATTACACAGGGACTCTTTGTGGTGACATATTGCTAAGAGAACCCATTGCAAGAACAGAAACTATTATCGCTGACCCAAGTTCCCCAGCATTGTATACTGGCAATAGTACAGTGGGACCCACTGCTATTAAAAAAAATAAAATAAAATAAAAAAAAGGCAAACCATGATTATAAAGGAGACTTTCAGGGAGAAATGTATGAAGAACAAGGTGAAAGCAGCAGATACAGGGTTAAATTCTGCCTTTGGTTACATGTAATCCCATTGTAGCATTGTGGTTGCATGAGTGCCTGGGAGCAGAATTTGTGCTGCCTGTATATAACTTAGAAATCTTTCTTCTATTTATGTTTAGTACAGAAGGAACTTGAATGGTCAAAAGATAGGAAAAGTCCACAAAATGTGTGTTTTCTCACCTCTCTTTTGCACTATGCCAGCTGTGGTTAATCAGACAGACCTTTCCTAAGAAGTCTGAGATGGCTGGAGAAGAAAGTCACTGCTTGGTTTCCGTAAGTGAGACTGGACAGGAGGGAGAGTATTACTTCCCATTGCATATCTGACCAAGTGACTTGAAGACTTCATTCCCTCGTAGTTCAAAGCTCTCTACTTGAGCAACTGGAGGGCAATACTAATCCAACTATGTGGAGTACACATTGGAGATGGAAGTACTTGCTGAGGCATTTTCTGGAGCCATTATCCTAAAGAATTGAGGCACTGATATGCTTTCTCATGGTAACTCCCTGGTCACTCCCTGATAACTTTGCTATTTAATGAAAAATTAAAGGGGGAAAGCAGGCAAAAATGTCTGGATGAGTGTGAAATCTCTTCTATCTCTCCTGGACAAGGGTTTTTTTGTTGCCTGCTCCCTAAGTGAATGCGTGGAGAAGAGGCAGAGGGGAAAGAAGAGATAATAGGCTGGTGCCTCATGCGTCCACTCACAGAAAAAGATCTGAAGAGTTAGAAGAGGGGATGAACTGGGCCAATAGGCCTCATTTCTGTTGGTCCGTCATGCTGAGGATTTTAAACATATTTTTATTTAGCATAAACTGGTAAGAAAAATTCAAGATAGGGATTAACTAAAACAGCTAATGTTTACTGTCTTGTTCAGAAGATACTGAAAAATTGTATAAAGCAATTCTTCCCCAGTTCAGTGTCTTTCTTTCCAGTGCCACAAAGCGTGTTGCTAACATTAAACCTTCCAATGTCCTTTGGAAATTACATCTGCTAGCTAGTCTGTACTTTCTGTCCCCTTGTTTGGTGGTGGTGGTTTTTTCTACAAACCCCCATAGTCCTCAGCATGTTTTGTCCCTACCCCTTCTGGAATAGTTGTTTAGCAACTTCCTCTCCCCAGAGTGATTCTGTACAGAACCCTGAATGTCAGCTAAGTAATCTTCTCAGACAAGTCACTCCCTCATCAGAAAACTTTCAGCCTCGGCAAGCTCAGATGGTTGGAATCTTGGAGTTGCACTCCTCCTTGTGCGCTGCCATATGGTGGAATGTTGCGCTGCTTCTCCACCAGTCAGTAACACTTTCAATGATAAACGTGGGTTAATGACTTACTCAGTGATAAACCAGTTACACTAACTTGGAAGTCAATGAATGAGGTTAGAATGGCCTCCTTGTGCCCACATTTGCAATTTTCTCTCTGCAAGAGGACTATGATGTTCGTTAAAGTACATGTGCTTACTGAATACAGAGAGCATTCATTGTTTTAATGCGAGCCTGAGTTATAATATAGGGCCGGGCTTCTTCCCACTTCACACGAGGGAGCGGGTTTTAAATGGCAGATATTGTATATTGAACACCTACACAGGGATATGTGGTTTTTAATTATTTTCATCTAAAGCTACTTAATAGTTCTTTAAAATAAAAACTTAATTCCATTAAAGGAGTCACTAGCATCAGTCATATAGTTTGTTTTGGAGGAAGAGCTATCAGTTTAAATAACGGTTCTTGTTCTGATCTACAGTTAGCATAATGTATAGCAGCACACTATTCAGCAGCATTGCTATTGATGGGAAGAAGATTCCATTTTGGAGAATGACTCGCTTGGCTTTTTTAGCAGCGCTAGCTGGAAATTTGTTGTCAGCATGGATACAGTTTAAGTGTTTACTCATGTCCATTGCATTGTCATGCCGGAAGTTTTTCACTCCGTGGTATCCATAGGGGACCGGCTCTGGGACCCTCCAGAGTGGTGCACATATCCTGCTGTGTAAGAGTCCCTGCTGGCTCCCCCCACCCTCAGTTCCTTCTTAATGCCAGTGACAGTGCTGGAACTTCTCCTTGCGTCTCAACCGCTTGTTGTGAACTTTGTTGTATATCGTTGTTGAAAGTTATTTTTAGTTAGTTTTTAGTTCCCTTAGTGTAGTTTAGTGTTAGTTGGTAGTCTCTGAAGGTAGACTTAGCCTAGGGATGGGGCATGCCTGGTCCCCGGGCTTCAAACCCTGTGACTGTTGCAGAAAACCTATGCCAGTTAGTGACCCCCATAGGAGCTATTTGAAGTGCTTGGGGGAAACCCACATTAGCAACAAGTGTCACATTTGTAAACATTTTAAACCTTGGACCAAAAAGGAGTGGGACATATCGGATACCTCCTGCCTCGGTTGGGAAGCACATCTCAGTATGCTGCGGCCCCAAGGGACATGGTCTCCAGAGGAGTTGGTGTTCCATATAAACGTCAGGAAGCTCAGGGCCACCCACCTAGCCTGCGGTGTCTTCCTGCCACAGTTGTCCAGTCGAGTATTGCAGGTGTTGATGGATATCATGGCCTCAATGTTCTATGTCAACAGGCAGGGGAGCAAGTTTGTCGGCCCTCTGTCAGGAAGCCCTCCGCCTGTGGGACTTTTGCATCCAGCATGTGATCCACGTGGAAGCTTTGCATCTCTTTGGCGTCTGGAACATGCTGGCGGATCGCCTCAGCAGGACCTTTTTCTCTCACCATGCTCCACTTGGAGGTTGTCCAGGCACTCTTCCAGAAGTTGGGGGCTCCTAAGTGGACCTGTTCACCACCAGACAGAACAAGAAGTGTCATCAGTACTGCTGTCTCCAAGGCTTTGGCAGGGGTTCCCTCACAGGTACCTTTCTCCTGTCATGGGTGGAGGATCTGACAGGTCGACCCAGCTCTTTATTATGACAGCAGATGAGATGAAGGGCCTCTCGGTGTCCTCATAGAGGATCTCAAATTGGATCACCACCTGCGTCTGGACCTGTGACGAGTTGGCTCAAGCCGAGCTGCCACCTATAGTGAAGGCCCACTCAACTAGGGCTCCAGCATCCTCGGTGGCCTTCTTGGCGCATGTCCCTATCCAGGACATCTGAAGGGCCGCGACGTGGTCTTCGGTACACACATTCACGACGCACTATGCCATCACCCAGCAAGCAAGAGATGACGCTGGATTTGGCAGAGCTGTGTTGCAATCGACAGGTCCATGAATTCCTACCCACCTCTGGTGGTACTGCTTGGGAGTCGCCTATAAAGGAATGGATGTGAGCAACACATCTCGAAGAACACCAGTTACGAAAAAGTAACTCTTTTTTTAGCCTTTTGTTACAATAAACATTAATCTGACAGATTTACTCTTGTTAATTTGTACACACTTCCAGCATTTGTCCTGTTCCTGACAAATAAAGGGACTGTCCATTACTGTTTATATAGTTGTGATTTCTTAATTTTCTCATTTGTAAGTTTAACTTTAAGCTTAAACTTCATGCCCTGCTCACTTTCCTTCTTTATTTAAGACACTGACTTTGTCTCTCCCCTGAAATCCATCTCCTTTTCCTTCCACCATTTTTTGAACTAATCTTGAGACTAACGTTATTTAATTTTTTTGTACCAGGATTACTGATGAGTATTTTTAGCACAGCTCTGGGAATAGTATTAACTTCTGCACTAGAGTCAGCAGAGGGTACACTATAGCGTAAAACATGGTTCATGTCATTCATGCAACCTCTGTGTTGAGTTTTTTGAGGCTCTGAACAGTGAAATGGTGGATTTTTAAAATCCACAATAAAATCACTGTCGGATTGTAACAGCTTCAGGTTACGTCAGACTATGGATGT